TGGAGGAGGAATTCTGGGAGTTGAAGCACACAAGTCTTAAAGCTGTCAAGTTACAAGACCCTTGCACCCCTAACCCTTTAGAAAAGAAAACCCCAGGGGTGTTCAAACTTGACCGCGTTAAGACCTTAAGGTTTAGATAGGACTCTTAGACATGGGCGGGCTGATAGGTGAGCCAGCCAATCAGTGAGCGGCGGGCGGGGCAAGCGTGGTGCGGATAGGCGGAGGGAGGGAGCTGGAACCAGTTCTAAACGGCTTGGTAGATTTGTGGAACCTCTTCTATAGAAGAGGTTAGACCTGACAGGAACCCACCCCTGGGAGGGAGAAGTAAGAAATGTGTCGGAAGACATTGGTTGCAATCTCCAAAGCTTATTGAGTCCAAGCTGACTTATTTCATGAGCCTCTAATTGCTTGCTGTCATATGAAACCTGGTTTCCTTTTGGGTAGTTTATGTCCAAAGGAAAAATAGGGAGCCCAGTTACACAAAAATCAGTTTCTTACATAAAGCTTTTTAAAGCCCACTGACAGAGTAATATACGTTGTCTATTTTACAGAACGCAAGCAAGAATAAGAATGGAATGTCTGAACAGAAAATTCCAGCACTTAGAAATCCACTGTTTTCAATGAATATCCTTTTGATTTATCTCCTCTTTTTTTTTTCCTTTTTTGTTCTCAGGAGTTCCGGGAAAACCAGGCAGCAGAACTGGAAAATTTAGAAGGTGAACTGAGCCATCTCATAGCACAGATTGAGGAACTGGAGGGCCAGATGTCCACACTGGGGCTGACCCTAACACAGGTGAGAACGCAGCAATGTTATTGTCATCTGGATGGACCGCACTAACCCAAAGAAAGAAATTTGAAATTTGAAATTTAATGAATTTATATGCCGCCCAATCCCGAAGGACTCCAGGCGGCTTACAGAATACAATTTAAAAAAGAATAAAAATTAAAAATAGAGAAGAAGAAACAGATTTAAAAGAAACACGTCATGCACACAATGTAGGCGGAGCTGGACCTCATTCATGAGGTCAACAGCCTCAGGCCTGCCGGAATAGCCAGGTTTTAGTGGCCTTTCGGAAGGCCGAGAGAGTGGGAAGGGTCCGGATCTCTGGGGGTAGATCGTTCCATAGGGTTGGAGCAGCTACAGAGAAGGCCCTCCCCCGAGGAGTCGCCAGCCGGCATTGTCTGGTCAACGGCACTCGGAGAAGACCCATCCTGTGAGATCTTATCGGCCGTTGGGAGGTATGTGGCAGGAGACGGTCTCGCAGATATCCAGGTCCTAGGCCACGTAGGGCTTTAAAGGTGATAACCAGCACCTTGAAGCGCATTCGGAGACTGATAGGGAGCCAGTGCAGCTCGCGGAGGATAAGATCTCACA